CACCCCAAGTCCTCACTTAACTTTGTCAATAGATTTTGAAAACTGGGACTTTAAGAAATGACATATAAAGAAACCAATTTTGCCATGGGCTAGTTGATATAAATAAGAGTTTTGTTGCTATGGCATATTTCCGGTCACAAAAACATCTCCAAACTTCTAAATGAGATCCTAAAAACTAATATTAAACCTTGAAGTAAATGTGAGCTATAATACATTTAAGAAAGAATAATAAAAACAAGTAAGATATGTAATTATCTTCCAAATTGCTTATTCCAGTTCAGGGTTGAGGGCGACAAGAATCTATTCTGGCAGGTTAGTCATTCCCACACACACACTCATTGACACTGGGACAATTTAGTTATGTCAGTTCACGTAATGCGCACATCTTTGGGAGATGGAAGGAAACCAGAGTACCTGGACAGAACTCACCTGCACCTGGACATGAAAAGGAATGCAGAGTGGCCAAGTCTGGAGCTGATTTCCCACCCCCCACTTCCCACCAATGTTATAATGAAATGACCTTGCGCAAAACCACAGTGCTGCAGGACCTGCTGTATAGTGAATTAAATACGTTGAATTTTATTTTCCCCCTGTATTCTTTTCAAAGCTAACTTTCTCCCCTAATTTTCATATGGGCTGTCTCATAAATTAAATAATTTTTCTACTGAGAGTAAATCTCTGAATCATTGAATATTATTGAAGAATCCTTTAAAATTAACTAATTCAAAGTGACTTATGACTTTTATAATATTCAGTGAGAAGATGATATTTAAAGTTCAGGCATTAGTGGTTTTTTTTGTTTGTTTGTTTGTTTTTAGTTTTTTTAGTTTCTAAAAGTGAAAGTGAAAGAATATGTTCCAAGGATTTTCATTAGATTGTTTCTTTATACAAAGTACACTGTACATGTTTAAAAGAGCCTGCATGTGTATGTCCCTTCAAAAATCCAAATTAATATTCCCCCATTTTTTTCTGTAAAATTAATCATTATGTTTTATACCTTAAAACTGCTCATATGATCTACCATTTCTTCAAATTATTGATGCGCATATCATAACTAATGCCCAAATGAAGTGATAGTCTTCACATAGGAGGAATACATTTATGAACTGTGGTTCACTTACATTTTAATTTCAAAAATTAATCATTGGGTGTGAAACTTTAATGAATGAAGGCTGATTTTCCCAAAATGTTAGACTGTCAAAAAGTTTTGAATTTCATTGCAACGAGCCAGATTCAGCAACCATTTCCATGTGATAATGTTTGAACTTCAGCTAAGCAGCCTTAATTAGACTAATAAGATAGCCTTCATAAAAATGCCTCTATGAAAGTGCATCCAGTAAACTTGTTATTCTTTTCCCTCTGGAACTTAACATCTAACTTACACATTAAAAACTTTGTAGCTAACTAATATATCACAACATGCAATTTTCTAAAATAGCGGAAAATATAGTTAACACATAATTTAAAATGTGTTCAAACCTGTATCCCATACAAAAACTATTAATTAGCTCTCATTGGGTACAGAAATTATTTGGACTTTGAAATGATTGATTGATATTCTTAAAATGCAAATCAATAAGCCACTGATTTAATTTTGCATTGACTTTTCGTGTTACTTTTGGAAATCTGTATCTCATGGTTCATAATGCCTTAAGATATTTTGTGATGTGTCACTCAGATTCATTTACACGTTTGAGTGTTGTAACAGAGCTTCTGAACTATAGCTTCACGTTAGAGTCATGTAAAACATGTTGGCCAGGCCCCCAAACCCAGTATTTTGATTAAATTAGCTTGAAATGATTTTTGTGAAAAGTTTCTCAGGTTATTCCAAATTGAAGCTACCTTTGAGAACCACTAAATGGGAGGACTGGGGGATAATGAAAATGTTTTGCTTGTACTATGCTAGAACAGATTTCCAAGAGAGAAGATTGACTGAATTGATTATATTTAGCTAGCTCCGTGAATGACATTTGTTATACCATGTCTGGACCAGCTAATGCTTTGAAGTTCTTCCTAGTTCACTGACTCTAAGATAGTATAGTGTTCTATCCATGTTAACAATTATTTCATACTTTTTTCCTTGATAGAGCACATAGTGACTCATTGATTTTTAAAACATGCTTGTGAATAATATAATAGAAGCAAGCTATGGGGAGATACATCCATTCTGTCAAAGATTCATTATCTGTACCAACAAAATAATATAATCCATGAAATGGCAATGGAACCCTTTGAAAATGAAAATGACACCAACAACAATCTGAATACAATCAATACTGAGTCTAGGTGTACAATAACAAAAAGAGATAAAAGAAATGATAAAAATTGTGAGGTAGTAATCAATGATGTCTTCTAGGAAGCACTGCTTAATGACAAAATCAGAAGGAAGCGATGCATTTCAAGTCAACAATGAAATTTCAGTCAACTAAGGGACTCTGTGTAAATGGCACAGTGAATAAAATGAGAATAGCTATGGTGCTCACTGTAGAGGCCTTGATTATCTCATTCAGTAGGAGGTCCCTGGAGAGTCTAATACAAAGATAGAATATGCTAGAAGAGCACAGCAGAGGGTGGGTTTATGTCATATTACAACATTGTGTGCAACTTCACGGGCAAAATGAATTTGAACAAAGTCTTGAAGTGTTAGAGGAGAGTGATTGGGAGGATGAATAAATGCCTTCCAACATTACTACTGACATAAATAACAACATGGAAGCACAACACTTTCTGGGATGTTCAGGGAAATAATGCACGGGATGAATGAAAGAAGCATGTCACAGAGATAAGAACACTCAATTGTGTTTGGAGAAACAATAGCTCAATTCTCCAGACTAGACTGAGAGAAGGACTTAAGGGAGAGAGCAAGAAGAAAAGTTGGCCAAGGTTGAGGGCAAGGGAGGGCTCTGAAAGGTTGTTTGAGGAGTTTGACATGCAAACATCCCAAGTAGCAATATTTCCAAAGAATTCCAAACATAACTGAAATAATAATAATAATAATAATAATAATAATGCCTGGTCTCAACTAGTCTCTTGGTTGTGTTAATCTGAAATGAAGCAGATGGATATGTTAATCTTTAGAAGACGGGAAGTCACAATCCTCAGGATTTTATTTCAAGGAACAAATTTACAGGAAATTCTTTCATTTCAGGATTGGAATGCTGTCAGTCAGTACTTTCCTTCTCAGCTCTTTCCATGGAGAAACAGCACATTTCCTTATTCTTAATTTAAAGATAACAAATCTGTTATCAAGCTACTAAATGTAATATTTTTATCAAATGCTTCCCTGAAGTATGTATTTCAGTTTTATTTAATTATTATATCTTTTATTTCAAGATATGTTTTTTATCCTTTCTGTATCCCGAATTCCTAAAACATGCACTAGAGACAGGAAAAAAAAACCCCACAAAAACCCACAAACCCCACATTGTATAAAAGGTAATTAGCACGTCCTCTCCTTTTTATAACTTTATAATTGAAATCTCATTAAAAGCTTTCTAGGTCTCAGCTCCCTTAGTGACCAGGTGTCCCTAATTTGTTTAAAAACTAATGCGACTAATTCCAGGCACTGACTAGAAAAAGTCGAATACCTGTTGGAGAACAGCAACAGCAAGGTTAAATAAGTGGGGTGGCTTTTTAGGTTGCCTTTAACCTTTTTTTTTTTTTTCCTTTTTTCTTTTTCTTTTCTTTCTTTTTCTTTTTTTTTTTTTTTTTTTTTTTTTTTTTTTTTTTTTTTTTTTTTTTTTTTTTTTTTTTTTTTTTTTAAGGCTTCAACGTCTCTTCGCCCAGAGTCCTGCCTTCCCCCCCCCCTCCAGTCCCGGTTGAAGATTCCAGGGGAAATGAGAGCACTATTTTGTTTCTGCCTTGTATTGCAGATAGGGGGAGGAGGAGGTGGTTATTAGAGAGAAGCTCTTCCTCTCTCGGTTTCCCCCTCTCTCCGCCTGGCAGCTCCGCTCTCTCGCAGGCTCGCTGGCTCTCCCAGCCTTAGGTGATCCATTTCTAGGCAACAGCGGGGCCGGTGCCTCAGAAGAAGCTGCCCAGCTCGCTCTCTCCTCGCTTCCCCTGCATCCCGCCAGGCGAACCGCTCCGAGAGCATCCTGCAGCCGCCGCCGCGGCTCCCTCCGCCCGCCCGCCCGCCCGCCCGCTGCCCGCGCCCAGCGGCTCCCCCGCCAACCGCGCCCGAGCCACCGCCGCCCGGGCCCGCCTCGCCGAGCTCCGCGCAGGAACCGGATTTTCTCTGCATCACTATCTGCATTACCTTCAAGTTCACTTTTCCTTCCCTCTTGGAGAGGCTCCCCCCTCAGCCTCCCCCCTGCCCCCATCCCTGCTTGGAGAGCCTGGCAGCTCCGCTCGGAAGGAATCTCCCCATCTTTCCTTTCCACTTCGATTTGGTTTTGGCAACGGAGACAAGTGCTTCTCTGCGGGGCCGTGCGGGCCGCGGGGGGCCGTGCTTTTTGGCCGGGGCGGGGGAGGGGACATCCGGCCGGAGGAGGGGGTGGGTCTGCTGGAAGTTGCAGCGGAGCCGGGACGCGAGAGACCCGGGCCCGGCGCCGCGATGGGCCAGGTCTGAGCTGCAGCCTCTGCCCTGCCCGGGTGCAGCCGGGGCTGGATACATTCTTCTTCTTCTTCTTCTTTTATTTTTTTTTATTTTTTGTTTTTTTAAAGAAAAGCCAAAAACTGCAAACAACTCCGGCGATGCCAACATTCCCTTCCAAGTGACACGGCTTGGCGAAGGAGGATTCCTCGGGCTGAGCTCTTTGGCTCCTACTCGCCCTGCCTTCCTCTTCCTCGGCGACTGATTCAAGGCTTTGGCTCTGGCAGCTGGAATAATTTTTTGGGGAGGGAAGGAAAGCAAAAGCTGCACTCAACTCCACCGTGACCTCCAACTCTTTGGACTGTGTGTGTGTGTTCCCATCATCTCGAAAGGAAATCCGCCGTGAAAAAAAAAGAAAGGAAAAAAAAAAAAAAAAAAAAGGAAACCAGCCGCCGAGGAGGAGGAGGAGATGGAAGTTTTCCCCTGGTTCTTGGTGTTGTCCATGTGGTGGTCTCGAACCTGGGACGCGGGGAGTGCGGATTCGATCATCCACATCGGTAAGTGCGGGCGGGGGCCGCCCGTGGGCACTTTTCCCGGCTTCGGTCCCCGACGTCCCCCCTCGGCGTCCCCCTCTTCTCCCGGCGGCGGCTGCGGTCCACGGCCGCGTCCGCAGACCCTCCCTCCTCGCACCCGGTCCGCGTCCCGGGCGGGCGCGGAGGATGCGCGGCCCCGGGCCGGGTGGGCGCCGCGGCTTGGGGTGCATCGCGGAGAGCGGGCTGCGCGCGGGGGTTCCCGCGTTCCCCCCGGGGCGCGTGTGCCGTGTGCCGTGTGTGTGTGTGTGTGTGTGTGTGTGTGTGTGTGTGTGTGTGTGTGCGCGCGCGCGCGGTCTCAAGTGTCTGGGGAAGGGAAGTTGCATGGACGGACTTCAATTTCCATCTTCTCCCCGGATACACACTCGCTCTATTTTTTTTTTTTTTAAAGAGGATCGTGGAGGGAAGCGGAGAGGTGTCCTCTGAGCGGCGGGGAGAACCGGGGTGGGAGGCTGGGGGCGCTCCCTTCGGATCGAACAGGTGGTTTTGCAACGTGAGCCGCCGCCGCAGCGCAGGGCGCTGGGGCCGGGCTGCCGGGGGCGCCCGCAGCAGCCGCCGCCTCTTCCTCCTCCTCCTCCCCGCGGCCCCTCGGCTTGGCGGTGCGGAGTCGCCACGGCGGTGGCGGGAGGGGCGGGGGCGGCGCGGCGGGGACCGGGCTCCACGCGCCTCGCCGCCTCGCGCGCGATCCCCGGGCTGAGCCCGGCCCCGCGGCGCTCGGGCCGCTCGGGGAGCAGATGCGCGCCGAGCACCTGCCTCGCCTCGCAGGCGACTCTCGGTGGTGACAGCGCCAGGCCCGGAGCGGGGGCGCCGGGGCTCCGGCGGGGCGGCCGGACTCCGGGAGAAGGACCCCGAGCCGCGGGGAGATGCTCTGGGCCCCACCTCTGGGCGCCCGGACTGGCCGGGGGCGGGCGGGGGCTTCCTGTCATTATCATGCAGGGCGCTCGCGGCTCCGGCTCCAACTCCTCTCACTTGCTAATCCGTGAGAGCCGAGCGCGGAGAGGAGCTCTTGCAGCCCGTTCTGCCTTAATGCAATTTCCCTTTTGGAAATCCGCCTGTGCGGGCCAGCGAGATGCCTTTATTGGGCTGGAGAGAGGCCCCTCTTGGGGAGTATTTCTGGGCACAGGACTTTTATCTGTCCGCAAGGCGTGATGTTCTGCAAATTGAGGAGACAGATGGATCACAGCATCTCCCCTTTCGGTCCCCCTGCCCCTCCCCCGCGCAGCACACAGACACACACACACACACACACACACTCTCTCTCTCTCTCTCTCTCCCTCTCCTCTCTCCACCTCCTTCTCTCTCTCTCTCTCTCTCTCTCTCTCTCTCTCTCTCTCTCTCTCTCTCTCTCTCTCTCTCTCTCTCCTCTTCCTCCTTGGCTCTCCCTCTCCCTCTATCTGGCTCCTGTAAGCCTAACCTGCTGCAGGTGGCGGTTGTGTCTGCCCAAGCCAGGGTCTTCTATCATGTGCGTGCCCAAAGAGGCTGGCCCCTGGGCTCCAGGGGGCTCCCTCTCTCTGGGTCTCTGAGATTGTCTTTGTAAACATGTCTGCCATTCTCTATTATTTATATCAATAGAACCATATGTCTCCGTGCAAGGAGTAATGAGGTCAGAATCCAGAAAACCTTGCACTTAGGCATTAAGTAAATTAAACGCTGGATAGCTTGCCTGCTAGATCACCTTTTGCTTGGGGGAGCTAATAGTGCCTGTGGGTTCTGAACTTTTCAGGAGAGAAATGATGGTCTTATGGAGGGGTTCGGCAATGTTTTTGGTGGAGTTCAGAAATGAACTGGGCTCCTCTTAAATAAATTTATGTCCAGTGTAAATGACTGCAACAGGAATGGAGATATACGTATCATTGTACTTTTGCATTCATTTTATGATTAGGGGTTTCTGCCTTATGCTCTTTATTGCTCAGGAGGAAAGGCTTGCGGATACATGCTTATTTTATTGCTTTTTCTGTGGTCTACACAATAAATACTCTATTTGCAAACACCTACAGCTCTTGCTATCCTTTACCAGATGAATACTATTTTGCAATGCAGTCTGGGCTATTTGTTTCAAAATAGAACACAACTGTTGTATTTTTTCCCCCTTTCCATTCTGTTGTCTGTCAGTGTGACATGGCTTACGTATTTATAACTAGACCAAAAAAGTAACTGTGTACAAATTACAAATTTCTTTAGAAAGCTGGTTGTATGCATGAACTGTGCATGTCCCTACGAAAAGAAATCGTTACTTCTTAGACAATTAATTGGACTTGAATGCAATTAGTACATTAGACAAGAGGATTAGCTTCTTTTATAGACTACCTAAAAATGCCATGAAGCTAGCAAATTGATGATTGTTTCAAATGCTCCATATCCTTTACAATATAGTGAAAATGTTATCTCCTAAATTAAAAAAAAAACGACAGAAGTAAGACTAATTTGTGTGCACTTCAGAGGTTAAAATTATCTCCCCCTTCCACCCCTACCCCAGGCTGACTATAATAAATTCAAAACTAAATGATCATATATTACAATTGTAAATCACCTGTTACTATTCATCGATCAGCTTACTTGCTTGGTTGGATAAGAAAAGAGAATTCATTATGTCTAAGAGGTGACTGCTTTCATTTGATATTTAATCTGAGAAATATGCTTTGATATTTAATCTGAGAAACATACGCACGGTAAATCTATTATTTCAGGACTAAGGGGATGAAAGTGATGAAGCAGGAGGGGATGAAAGTGATGAAGCAGGAGGGAAAGAATATTTCAACTCTAGAGATATAAGGAGATATGCAGAAATGAAAGGTTTCCACAGCCTCATGTGATGTGTTTCAGCAGAAAGTAGCTGTAATGTGCAGTTCAGGCAAGCTGGAAAGATAAAAGACACTGCTGCAATAGGTTTCTTTTGTTTGCCTGTACTTTCACCATCCTGTATGTATTTATTGAACACCTTCTGCACATACTTCAGTGTGGGGCATATAGATTTAGTGTAAGACATCGCCTTGATTTCAGTGACTTTGTACTTTAGTTTTGTTTTTTAATTCAATTGAATGTATGGGTTAATAAAATCATATAGGTTTCAGGTGTACACTTCTATAACACTCCATCTATATATTGTATTGTGTGTTCATCACCCTAAGTCCAGTCTCCTTCCATCACCATTTAGCCTCTCTTCACCTTCTTTATCTCCCCTCCCCCCTTTCCTTCTGGTAACTACTGCTGTCTGTGTTTTTAACTCCCCCCTCCCCTAATCCCTTTACCTTCTTTACCCATCCCTCAAACCCCTTCCGCTCTGACTCTGTATCTATGAGTCTGTTTCTTTTTTTATTGTTAATGTTGTTCATTAGATTCCACATATAAGTGAGATCATATGCTACTTGTCCTTTTCAAGACTAATTTGTATGCACTTCAGAGGTTAATATATGTCACTTAGCATAATACTCTCCAGGTCCATCCATGCTGTTACGAAAGGTAAGATTTCCTTCTTTTTTATGGCCGAGTAGTATTCCATTGTAAGAGGTTCTTTAAATATTGAATCCTTTTGGTATTGAACCAAAATATATGTATGAAAACTCTCTCCATTATTCTTTCTTTCTCTTTGTTTTCTACTATTTATGCAGGTAGATTATTATAGTCAATTACATATTTTAAACTCTAACATGTTTTATTAAACAGATTAGTTCACTACAATGAGATATATTCTAATATAATGATTAAATTAATGATTGAAATGGAAATGTGTTTATTGCAGTCAAAATGCATAATACCATTACTTGGTGTTTCTGTTAAAGCACATTATTAAAAATTTTGATAATTCTACACACTGTTTAATATTTATATTCACAGACACAGTATGTAGAAACGGATCACCTCCATTGTGATCTTCCTCAGCCCCCACCGCAAAAGGAAGGTCTTTTGACACATTAAAAACTATGCAATTTTGAAATTATGCTTCTACTTTAAGGCTGTGCATTGATTGAGTAATTTCATCAGACCCACATTACTTGATTGCTTAGAAGTTTCCTAATGATCTGCATGCTGTAGGAAGAACCAAAAAGTCGTGAGAGGAATGGCAATGATACTGTGTTTTATGAGGCTATTCAAAAGTCGCTCTGATTTATGTAGCTGGAAAGCTCCAAAGTCTTTGAGATTAGCCACGCCAAGTGCTATTTTCTTCATACATCAGTCGTCTCACACTCTTGACTCCCTTAACACAACAGGCGTTTAGAGCACTGCTTTAATTAAGCAGGGATTAGGTGGCATTTCCAGCCAACTGCACAGTTTGTGCTTTGCTTCATATCTAATATGGAGGATCTCATGTCTTAGCAGCTTAATGTATGCTCATTTCTTTATCTGGTTCTTGTGCTCACAGAACTGATTGCAATGAGCTACCCTCAGTTATATATCTCTGCAAGGAAACACTGACACCGAGTACTTATTCATTTATTACAAAAATGACTAGTCTGTTTTTGTTGTTGGCAGTCATGGCAAAATACCTTATGCCAGCAGGAAACAGAAACCAAGCATTTATTCATGTTTTTTCCTCATAAGCCATTGATGCTGTATCCTCCAAGATCATAATCGTCAACTATGACATTTGAGAAGCCTGACACAATTCAGAGTGTTTCCATCATGAGAAAGTGCAAATTAAAGTACAGAATTGGTGGCTGAGTAAAATGTGACAGTGCATGATAAAACAAAAATTGAGGGTAGATTTTAAACCATCAGTTTTTATCCTGTTGCTATTGAGGACTATTATCAAATACAGAATGTAAAAGCATTTCCACTATGATTTGCATTGTTGAATAATAGCCCTCAGGAGTCATCAAGGACTCTTCCCATCATAGAAAGTATCTCAATGATTTAACTTATCCTCTTGTTATTCGTAAGAGTTTATTGCTCTGAATTATGGGTAATATATAGTATAAGCTTAGAATATATGAAGAAGTAGCTCTTGAATTTAAAATAAGTTTATACTT